GTATGTATGTATGTATGTATTTATAGCGCGTCTACCATTCAATTGCTTTGCTCACTGCTGGCTAGTTGTGAGGAATATGCATACGTACGTATGTATGTATGTACATATCAATGCTTCATTTCAAACAAGCAAGTGTCGTTGAATGTTTTTGAACTACAGTATCATCACTTCGGCAACACGTCAAACGCGCCTTCAGCAACAAACCAAAGGCGGCGGTTTGACTTCTGCAACAAATCAAGTTAGCTAACTGCGGCATCTTGCCTTCGCCAGTCTTTCACAACCGTCCAAAAGCAGCATGGTGCTTTTGGCAGTCGATCAAATACGGCGGTTGCTGGTTTCGTGCACGATCATTCGGAGTACAGATTTGCCGAAGTCAATATCAGTATGAGCTGTTATAAGCATCGTTCACTTGTGGTGGCTGTATTTGCAAGACAGCACGCTTTGCGGTGGTGTTCGTTCATCCTCCGTTTTTAACGTGAGTAGGCTTAAAGTCACAAAAACAGCACCCTTTGCCAATNAGGCTTAAAGTCACAAGAGGTCCAACGCAGGTCACATGGCGAAAAAAAGATTGGCCCGTAGTCATAGTCAAAATAAAGTCGACTTTAAAGTTAGTTGCAGCTTTTTTGACAGATATCCCATTGAAAATTATGTCAAAAAGCTGCAACTAACTTTAAAGTCGACTTTATTTTGACTATGACTACGGGCCAATCTTTTTTTCGCCATGTGACCTGCGTTGGACCTCTNAACCACCACCACGGCCAGATGCTATAATTATAGCTCGGACAGGAGATATGACCTACAGCGATATACAAAGGGCCGTTAAAAAGGAAGAGGCACTGCAGAAACTCGGCGACAGCATATCACGCATCAGAAAGACGGTCAAGGGTGAAATATTGCTGCAGCTTGAGGAGACGCAAATGAAAAACACGGGCGAATTCAAGAGCGAAATAGGTAGGCTTCTAGGGGACCAGGTACAGGTCAGAGCCCTAAAACACGAGACGATGGTAGAAATCTGTGACCTGAACGAGATTACCACCAAGGAGGATATTGCCGAGGTCATCCGCAACCAGATAAAGGAGCTAAACCACCTTAACGAAAATGCGATAAAAAGCATCAGGGCGGCGTATGCGGGCACACAAACCGCGGTGGTAAATCTCCCAGCACAGGAGGCAACATTACTTGACGCGCAGAAACTAAAGGTAGAATGGGTTGTGTGCAGAGTAAGGGAGAAACCGAACCCCAAAAAAATGGTTCAGGTGCCTGGAATACGGCCATATAACGAGAGACTGCAAAACCCCGGAAGACAGAAGTCAATGCTGCCTAAAATGTGGGGAAAATGTACACTTTGCGAAAGCCTGCGACAAAAAGCCACACTGCAGAGCATGCAAAAACCAGGGAAGAGAGAACACCGAGCATCAGATAGGTAGTTGGAGGTGTCCGCTATACCAGGAAGCGTGCAAGAAATCCAGAAAATGAGAGTCATGCAGTTGAATCTCAAACACTGCGAAGCAGCGCAAGAGCTGCTCAAGCAAACGGTGTATGAGAAGAAGGTGGACATAGCAATAATCAGCGTGGATATCGGACCTCACAGGCAAAGCTGCAATATGGACATGCGGAGGGAAAGCTTTCCTAGAAAAGCCGTTGTTTGGTAAAAGCTACTACACACGAGCGAAGGTAGGCGGGATTAACTTTTATAGCTGCTACATACCACCAAGTGTCCTACAAAATGAATACGAGAAAATCCTAGACGGTTTGGTTCAAGAAGTCCGGACCACCAGAATGAACGTTATAGCAGGGGACTTCAATGCATGGGCAGTGGAATGGGGTAACGTCCACACAAACAGGCAGGAAGATGCACTACTAAAGGCGTTTTCGGTACTTGATGCGGTGCTTCTGAACTCGGGGAACAAAAATACCTTTGAGAAGAATGGTCGAGGCTCGGTGATTGACATTATTTTCGCTAGTAGTTCCTTGGTGCGCTCAGCGCGCTGGAAGGTGTCTGACCTCTACACGAACAGTGACCATCTGGCAATCATGATGGAGCTAGGGAATTGGGCACAGAGCCCAGAGGGCGATCACCAGGAAGGAGCAAACGGGGGGGCTGGAAGGTAGAGACTCTGGATGAAGAGCTCTTCAGACTCGTGCTGGATGAGGAAATGGCCACTGAGGATAACACTGAGCTCCAGGCTGAAACACTGGTGAGGCACATCAGTAAAGCCTGCGACGGTGCTATGTGCAGGAGAAAACACGGCTCACTCATGCAGCCGGCGTACTGGTGGAACGAAAAAATCCAGGCCATAAGGGGTGAGTGTCACAGGCGGTTGTGTCAAAGGAACCGTGGCTCGATGGAATATGCGGTGCTGCGCGAAACCTTCAAAAAGAAGCGAGGTGACCTTAAAAAAGCCATCAAAAGCAGCAAAACCAGCTGCTTCAAAGAGCTCTGCGAAAAGGTGGACGAAAACCCATGGGGTGATGCCTACAAGGTGGTCATGAAGAAAATAAAAGGTGGTAAAGGCCAGGCACCAACCGGTCCCACCCTCCTAAAAGACGTCGTGCAAACTATCTTCCCTGTACAAACGCCAGGAGGTCGGCGACCGTAAGCAGAGAAACCGGAGGGTATGGAAGCACCATCGGTCACGGACGAGGAGATGGTCCAAGTAGCAAGAAGATTTCGTAATGCCAAAGCGACAGGCCTAGACGGCATACCAAACAAGGCTCTGAAGATTGCCATTAAGCACAACAGGGGTCCGTTTACCGAACTCTTTACGCGGTGTCTGCGAGAAGGCGTCTTCCCAAAAATCTGGAAGAAACAGCGGCTGGTCCCAAAAAATGTTGAACGAGCTCAAAGTTGGCTGGCGACCAACTTTGTTGAAAGCGATTAGTTGAAAGGCCGTTCGGACGCATGAACCAAAAAGACAAGATCACGCGGGCAGGAATCGCATTAAGGAAAAAAGTTTAACGATTTTGACATTAGCCGTTTATTTACATTTCTTCGTTGTTTACAATTTGGTGGTGGCTTTTTACTGCAATTTTCTTCATTTTCGCTTGTGACAACGTGTGTACACATAAGATAAAGAATAATTTAACACAACGGCATGATTTTTAGAAGAATTTGCATAATAAAAATGATTTTTCATGCGTTCAACAATTTCGCGGTTTTCTCCGTTCTCTTCGTTGTTTACTTCTTACAACAAAGATGGCGTCGAGATTTCGGCAGCTAGAAAATAACTTTTTTCGTTCTTTCCTTCCCGCGTGATCTTGTGTCTTTCGTTCATGGTTCGGACGAGGCGATTTTTGCTTTCAACTAAAAGTTGCCTGTAAAATCGCCTCATGCGAATGCCCTATTAGCGAACGGTATGAATCGTGCATGCTGTTACCAGTATACCAGATACTGGGCAGCATCTTATGTAAGATAACCCCTCCTGCAAAAAAAAAAAAAANCAAACGGGGGGGCTGGAAGGTAGAGACTCTGGATGAAGAGCTCTTCAGACTCGTGCTGGACGAGGAAATGGCCACTGAGCTCCAGGCTAAAACACTGGTGAGGCACATCAGTAAAGCCTGCGACGCTGCTATGTGCAGGAGAAAACACGGCTCACTCATGCAGCCGGCGTACTGGTGGAACGAAAAAATCCAGGCCATAAGGGGTGAGTGTCACAGGCGGTTGTGTCAAAGGAACCGTGGCTCGATGGAATATGCGGTGCTGCGCGAAACCTTCAAAAAGAAGCGAGGTGACCTTAAAAAAGCCATCAAAAGCAGCAAAACCAGCTGCTTCAAAGAGCTCTGCGAAAAGGTGGACGAAAACCCATGGGGTGATGCCTACAAGGTGGTCATGAAGAAAATAAAAGGTGGTAAAGGCCAGGCACCAACCGGTCCCACCCTCCTAAAAGACGTCGTGCAAACTATCTTCCCTGTACAAACGCCAGGAGGTCGGCGACCGTAAGCAGAGAAACCGGAGGGTATGGAAGCACCATCGGTCACGGACGAGGAGATGGTCCAAGTAGCAAGAAGATTTCGTAATGCCAAAGCGACAGGCCTAGACGGCATACCAAACAAGGCTCTGAAGATTGCCATTAAGCACAACAGGGGTCCGTTTACCGAACTCTTTACGCGGTGTCTGCGAGAAGGCGTCTTCCCAAAAATCTGGAAGAAACAGCGGCTGGTCCCAAAAAATGTTGAACGAGCTCAAAGTTGGCTGGCGACCAACTTTGTTGAAAGCGATTAGTTGAAAGGCCGTTCGGACGCATGAACCAAAAAGACAAGATCACGCGGGCAGGAATCGCATTAAGGAAAAAAGTTTAACGATTTTGACATTAGCCGTTTATTTACATTTCTTCGTTGTTTACAATTTGGTGGTGGCTTTTTACTGCAATTTTCTTCATTTTCGCTTGTGACAACGTGTGTACACATAAGATAAAGAATAATTTAACACAACGGCATGATTTTTAGAAGAATTTGCATAATAAAAATGATTTTTCATGCGTTCAACAATTTCGCGGTTTTCTCCGTTCTCTTCGTTGTTTACTTCTTACAACAAAGATGGCGTCGAGATTTTCGTTCTTTCCTTCCCGCGTGATCTTGTGTCTTTCGTTCATGGTTCGGACGAGGCGATTTTTGCTTTCAACTAAAAGTTGCCTGTAAAATCGCCTCATGCGAATGCCCTATTAGCGAACGGTATGAATCGTGCATGCTGTTACCAGTATACCAGATACTGGGCAGCATCTTATGTAAGATAACCCCTCCTGCAAAAAAAAAAAAAAACATGCGGGTTCTTGCATGCATTGTCGCGCACTTGAAGACGGCCGGTTACAAGTGACTGTATATTTTATGTGAATACTTTTGCCGATACCAAGTCTTTAACCGACACCTACTAATTGTATTTGGTGAAAGTACCCTTGCCAAAAGTACTTGGTTTCAAGATGAAAGTATCGCGTACCTTTNGCCGATACCAAGTCTTTAACCGACACCTACTAATTGTATTTGGTGAAATTACCCTTGCCAAAAGTACTTGGTTTCAAGATGAAAGTATCGCGTACCTTTTTGTATTTACTTGTATCGAAACATCCCTAATTCGTAGTTATAAACAAAACGATGTCTGCATACGACCTTAACCAGAAAACAATATTTGTGCTGGATCACACGCAATATTTTAGCATATCTAGTGAGGACTACATCCCATTGGAACTGCTCAAAGGCAAACCTGGAATTATAGACCCTTCCAAAGATGCCACTGCGGTTGGAGCGAGTGATGTCCAGTTCAGCAAAAGTTTGTGGACTTGTTCAGTGGAATCATCGATTGAATATTGCCGTATAGTGTGGGATCTCTTTCCACGTGGGAAACTTGTCCGCTTCATTGTTAGTGACACGGCGGCGCATATTGTTAACACTTGGAATCTTACCACACAGAATATGTCGCATGTTTTGAACGCTATGGCCCTTGTTGGCGTCCCCCAACGCAATGCAATGCAATCCTCAGATTTTTCGGTAATACATGGCTTACGTGCAGCTATTGAGGCCCTCGCCGAACCCACAGAAAGTCAATTAGCTCGATTACAAGAGGGCGACAGTGGTGGGTTACTTTCGGGCGAGAATGTCATGCTTAATAAAGGACGCGTAATATGTATAACCTCGGCACGTGATAACTCTAGCATGAAAAGCCTGGAGGACATATTCCACACAGTACTAATGCAACAGAATACATTAGCTGCTACCCAACGCAAAATGATACACATTGACCACTGCCATCTAGTGATTATCAATGTCGTACCGCTTAACATTGATTCTCTAGTAACCAATCGTGGAAAAATAGATTTGTCTCCGGTATTATCCACTGAAATTCATACCACATGTGCACCTAATATTTCTAATAAATTAACGCACCTAATTATGAGCCACTATGATTTGGCAAGTACTACAGTAACGGGTATACCTATGAAAGTATGAATGTTTAATATATAGCACATACATATATACATACATATATATTCCTCTTTTTGCAGGAGGAGCAAAATGCCAATTCAAGCGCAAATTACGACGTAGAAATCTTACATGCGCGAAATGCCCACACTTCTATATGTGGTAGTGAAGCATTACTTCCAACGAGTCGCAAAGAGGGTGCTGAATACGAAACAGTTACCCTCAAGTGGTGTACGCCACGGGGTTGTGGGTCATCTGACATGCAACCTTGTTTAGCTCAGCACCGTGTAACACCGGTAGACGTCACATCCCGCCCAAGCGCATGTCTTATTACGTTTTTATTAAATGGACGCTCAGTTTTGCTGGAAATGCCAAGGTATTTGTGAAAATATTTATGTAATAATTTTATAAATTAAGATATTACGTATAGAAAAACTGGTGGAAAGACTACTAGTCATTTACTTTCGGCTCGTGGGGGTGAAATCTTTATTCACGCTTTACAAATCACACGTTCCTGTTTGGAAGACTTGCCTTCAATCTCGGAAGGTCCTGGTGGTCGCGTAACCGACTATCGTATCTCCGACTTTGCCTCTTTTATTAAAGCACATCGCTTTGTGCCTCTTAAAGCCAAGCCAAAACCTGAAGATAATCTACATAAAGCGCGTGAAAGGCTACAACGTCGCTCACGCTATTTCCCGCTTACACTTAATACAAGCTTGATATACAATTTACAACGTAATCTTAATTGGGTTCCATATTTCTTGCGCAAGATTAGCAAAGAAGATATGGATAAAGCAGACGAGGCGCAATGTCAGCAGTACATTTTCGAATTATATACCGCCGCTTCACGAGGAGAGCCATTGCCGTTCCCAAATATGGGTGGAGGGCGGTAAGTTCAAATGGAAATAAAGAAAAGCTACTAAGGAGTTAATCATATGAGCTCATTAGGTTAAAGGGACAAAAAAAAGCTGACCAATATAAGTTAATTTGCGCTGAGTTAGAAGTATTGATTCGTGCTTATGCGACAACCTCGCACCATAAAGTCATACTAGAAAGTGTGCAAAATGTTCGTGCTGCTTGTGGAGATGCAACAGTCAAAACGGAGAATGATGGAAGCCGTAAGCAGCATATTCAGCTTATTAAAAAGCAGTTATAAATCAAATGTTTATTTTCTTTAAACAAACGAATGTCATTTTAATTTCGATTTAAGGCGATTCTACTACTAAAGCTGTAATGCGGGATTCTCCAATGTCACCGCCGCACTCCATAGAAAGTTCTAGCAGTGGCAGTAGTCTGCTTAAAACAAGTAAACGTAATTTAAGTAGCGGAGGACAACGGTACAAGAAAATTTTAGAATTCCTTTACGTTTGTACCTTTATAACGGTGATTTTTTTTTAATTGTAGGTCACTTCTAGACATCGTTACCAGTACAGAACGTAGCCAATCTGCTAAACGTGTCGATTTCTCGGGTCGTCTTTGTACACCGGTCGGACAAATCGCCAAACTATATCCAGATTTCGGTAATAAAGAAAAAGATACCAGCTCTGCTGCGTCTTCTGCAAGTGCTACAAAAGAGGAAGGTTTAAGCATAAAGTTGGAATTGGGCGTACGAAATTAAATTTAAATATGGTAATTCTATAGTCCAACAATTTCGGATAGGGCACCAATCGCGTTTCGGTCCCTATATCAACAATCCGAAGGCGGAAGGTTAAGGGCGGTATTGTCACTTGCGAAGCGAATGAATATGGCGAAGCGAACGGTTTGGCGAAGCGAATTAAAAGGCAGAGAAGGTATTAAAAGTGTGCGCGATGCGAATAACTTGCACAAGCTGGTAAAAGCGAACACTCTTAATGCATATTTAAGTTGCGTCCGCCTATCCATTCGCTTCGCCAAACCGTTCGCTTCGCCAAATTCATTCGCTACGCAAGTGACAATACCGCCCTAATACTTTTAACCAGTTAAAATATACAAACAAAAAACTTTTGTTAAATTTCGCTATTTTGTATGAGCGCTAAATCCGCAGTTTCCACTTTCTAAACATTTTTAAAATATATAATTTCACATTATTATTAAATAAACACATAGTTTTTTCAACATGAGATAGTTTATATTGTTACTAAAAAAAGTTTACATTTTTTTTGGATTTAACCATGATACAAAAAAGGAGGTAGTTTCAATAAACAACTTTTTTATTAAAAAGGAGATTTTTGACAATTGCTCAATTGTACAAAATTCTAAGTGGCGTTAATCAATTTAATTTTTTTGGTATAAGGGATTTTATATCCTAAATTTGGGAGTATAAATAAAAAATAATTAATGTCTTTTCTTAAAAACGTTTACATTTTACATCAAATTCGATAACTACTTGCCAAAATCTTTATTTTTACATTAATAAATTTTTAGTGAACATACAGTGACGAACAAAAGTATTGGCACAGTGAATTTTTCACCATATATGCAAAGGTTTTTATTCTAATTTATTTTCGATATATTTTTATAAAAATATAGTTCATTTTACACCAGAAAACGTAATAATAAAAACTCTAAACTTTGTGCAAAACTCAGGAAAATTCATTAAATTTGCACACTAATTTGCAACTTTTTATTCAGATTTTTTAGAAAAATTTTAAGTATGCAGTTTTATAGCCCATTCAAATTTAGTATAACAAAGTGCAAGTTTAAAGTTGCTAGAAAATCGCGTTGATTTTTGGCAATTTTTTTAGTGGAAGGTGTTGCTCATTTTCTCCAAACAAAAAATAATGGTCGAATTACTTTGTATGGAAGAACTTGCGTGAAAAAAAATTACCAAAAATCAATGCATACTAAATTTGAATGGGCTATAAAACTGCATACTTAAAATTTTTCGCAAAAATCTGAATAAAAAGTTGCAAAGTAGTGTGCAGATTTAATGAATTTTCCTGAGTTTTGCACAAAGTTTAGAGATTTTATTATTATGTTTTCTGGTGTAGAATGAACAATATTTTTATAAAAAATTATCGAAAATAAATTAGAAAAAAGAACTTTGCGTATATTGCGAAAAATTCACTGTGCCAATACTTCTGTTCGGCACTGTATTTTAAAATTTTTTACTGTAAAGTTTGTTTATTTTTCCAGCGAAACAAGATGTTGTAGGACCCGCTCAAAAAATCGACTTTTTTCACTCTCTTGTTCTTACGTGATCTTGTGTCTTTGGTTCATGGAGTTTTCAAGGATAATCGTAACAATTGGTGTCAGAAGTGGGATTGTTAAATAAATCCCGTAGGATAAACTTTTGAGATTGGCAAAAATTCAAGACCTTAAGATCGAGGAACTCAAACAGGAGTTGGNAAATTTTTTACTGTAAAGTTTGTTTATTTTTCCAGCGAAACAAGATGTTGTAGGACCCGCTCAAAAAATCGACTTTTTTCACTCTCTTGTTCTTACGTGATCTTGTGTCTTTGGTTCATGGAGTTTTCAAGGATAATCGTAACAATTGGTGTCAGAAGTGGGATTGTTAAATAAATCCCGTAGGATAAACTTTTGAGATTGGCAAAAATTCAAGACCTTAAGATCGAGGAACTCAAACAGGAGTTGGAGAAGCGAAATTTAGCAAACTCCGGAAGGAAAGTGGAGTTACTATCACGGCTGGGAGAGGCTATGGAAGCAGAAGGCATCGACGTGGAGAAATACGACTTCTAAGGTAAACTCGACGATGCATCCGCAAAGGATGAACAGAAGGATGAGGCCGCTTGTTTGTCGAAGGATGTGCAGCAGACATCCGGGAAGGTTGAAGAACAGCAAAAGGCTCCTTCATCAACAGCTATGGACATGAACACGATATTAGCTGCAATTTAATCACAGCTACAAGCGCAGAGGTCGCAGTTGTCTTCAGATGTCTCGTCGCAGCTGGAAGCACAGAAAACGTACATATCATCGCAGCTAGATGAAAAGATTACTCAGCTACAGGAGAATTTATTCAAAGATAACGCAGAACGCAGAGAGAGACAGGATAAAATCGAGGAACGACAAGATAAAATCGAAGCGCTTATTAAGGAAAAACAGGACAAAGTCGAAGCTAAGGTGGATGAGCTTAAAGATCGTCTCCGGGGTTTGCAGTTGAATCGTCCAGCTAATTCGACGCACGCTCCCAAGGTAAAGACTCCATCCTTTGATGGCACTATTCCTTTCCAGGTCTTTAAACTCCAGTTCGAAAAAACGGCTGCAGCAAATCACTGGAGCATGGAGGATAAAACCGCTGTACTGTTCGTTACATTAAAAGGACCTGCAGCGGAAATCTCGCAGAGTATTCCTGATTGTGAAAGGAACAGTTACGATGTGTTAATGGGTGCAGTGGAAAGACGTTATGGTAGCGAGCATAGGAGACAGATTTACCAGATGGAGCTGGAGAATCGCTGCCAGAAATCCAACCAGACTACAGGAATTCGCCTCTGAGATTGAAAGGTTGGCTCATTTGGCAATTGGAGATGCATCTGGGGAGCACCTCGAAAGAGTAAAAATCCAGAGGTTCATCAACGGAATGCGGGACATGTATACCAAGCGAGAGACGTGTGCGAATCCAAAGCCAACATTTGCTGAAACGGTCTCGTATGCTCAGACACGTGAAACGGCGGGGCTCCTAAGTAGACCAGCCTACAAAGAAGTGGAGACACCTGACGTGATGAACGAGATCCTGAAAACACTCAAGTCGATGGCAGGGAAGAGTACTCCTGGTGCAACGGAGAGAAAGGATGGTGTTAGGAAGTGCTTTAGTTGAGGAAAACCAGGCCGTTTCGCATGCGAATGTAAGACGGGTTCCAACAGGTCTAACAGGTCAGCAGTACGTAAACGCAGGACGGAGGATGATGAGCCCGACTCCGATCAGTCGTTAAACTAAAACGATCCAGCAGTAAGGGGCGCGCGCTGGCTCCCGAAATTGCATCCCCCATAATTTGCGTCTCGCATATCTGCAGAAAAGCGAGCAACGTTACTGTTGGTGGATATGTGGGCGGACATGAGCGAGTACTAACTGTGGATGCGGGCGCATCACATTCCATCATTCGATCTGATTTGGTCACTAAAGAGGTAAGGCCATTACCTGGAGCAAGGTTGAGGACAGCAACTGGTGAGGACACCCAAGTTGAGGAGAGGTATGGAGATCGACATGAAGAACAGGATCATGAAGTACAACAACATGGAAGTGCCCCTTAGCTTTGGGTATGATGGTCCGTACAGCAGCAAGCGAGTGATCCTAGAGGAAAGCGAGCAGATTCCACCGAAGTCAGAAGCAGTTGTGTGGGCAAAGATTGATGGAGATTGTGGGACAAACAAATTGTGGGTTGTTGAAGCAACACAAAATTCTACACCGGACGTACTTATTGGTAAAACCCTGGCTAAGACGCAAAAGGATGGACGCATCCCAGTTCGAGTGCTCAATGAGTTCAAATCACCAGTCAAACTCCGAAGAGGAACTGTACTGGGGCAATGTCGAGAGGTAGAGGCAATCTTCAACTGCGAAAAATTACCTGAAAGCGATTCAATTGGCGAGAATGACATTGCGGTAGACATTAATGCATGGACGGAAGGGTAAGGAAAATACCAGCACCAGGCTAAGGAACTTCTCCGCAGATACTCCAACATATTCAACAAGGATGGCGACAGGCAGGACTAACGTTGTGAAACATCGCATTGATACTGGCGATGCAAGGCCAATCCGTCAAGCTCCTCGGCGTGTTCCACTTGCCAAACGTGAAACTGTTAGCCAAATAATTAAAGAAATAAGCGAGAGTGCTGTGATTGAACCATCAGCGAGTCCATGGAGTTCGCCGGTAGTACTTGTGAAGAAGAAGGATGGTCAAATGCGGTTCTGCGTAGACTACCGGAAACTAAACGATGTGACGAAAAAGGACAGCTATCCTCTTCCCAGGATCGATGACACTCTGGACTCGTTGACTGGAACAAAGTGGTTCTCAACACTCGACCTTAAGAGCGGTTATTGGCAAGTGGAGGTAAGTGACGAGGATAAGGAGAAGNCAAAGTGGTTCTCAACACTCGACCTTAAGAGCGGTTATTGGCAAGTGAAGGTAAGTGACGAGGACAAGGAGAAGACAGCTTTCAGCGTTGGAGACGGTCTGTGGCAATTCACGGTGATGCCCTTTGGATTATGCAACGCTCCTGCCACTTTTGAACGACTTATGGACCATGTGCTCAAAGGACTGCATTGGAAAACATGTTTGGTGTATCTAGACGACATTATCGTATTGGGTAAAAGCTNCACGACTTATGACTGCATTGGAAAACATGTTTGGTGTATCAAGACGACATTATCTTATTGGGTAAAAGCTTTGATGAACACATGAATAATTTGGAAGAAGTTTTCCAGAGGATAGCTGGCGTTGGTCTGAGGCTAAGTCCTAAAAAATGCTCACTGTTCAAAAAGGAGGTGAGCTACTTAGGGCACAAGGTGACAACGGAGGGAGTCTGTACTGCGAAGGAAAAGATAGAAGCAGTAAAAGATTGGCCAAGACCTAGGAACCTGCACGAACTACGAAGTTTTCTTGGGCTATGCACCTACTACCGCCGATTTGTTCCGAATTTCGCCAGCGTTGCTAATAGCCTCCACGAGCTCACTAGGAAAAATAGAGCCTTCGAGTGGAACAAGGAGCAGGAGGAGGCTTTCCAAACT